AAAAAAAAAAAAAAAGCCTGGAGTAATCCCTCATCAGCTGTGGATCTGTGGATTTACTAATTATTTAATCATATAAACCAAGTTTTAAAATCTGTGCTATTTTTTATACACATATATTTACTTTGGTCCCTTAAACAAAAAAATATAACACTTATTGCTCCCCTTCCTGACATGTTATATCCACCCTCACAATGTATGGACCAAAGATCAGACCAGAAAAAAGTATGTAAGTACCTTTTTGAAAAGGCCAGGCATTTTGCCAATAACTACACAAAGTAGAATGTAAATATAAAAGATTTATCTCTTACAGATGAGGAAACAGTAACTTTTCTGTTTCTCAGACAACTGAAGGTGATTCAAGAGAAAGGTTACCAGGCCTGGTATGTTTATGTAGACAAGCCTGGTTAGTTTTGGAAGTAGACATGCATGCATTCCCACACACATTTAATTCCAGTTTTTATGTTTCTCCTCATGCTTCTTATTTTCTGTGAGATCTTTACCTCCCTAAGCAGTTTGACCAATTTACAGAAAAATAACCCCTGTAGTTGACAAGGAATGAGAGGGTACAAAAAGGATAAACAATGATCGCTATGGCTAGGGTTGTGGGAGATTTCTCTTTTCTTCTTTGGACTTTTATGAATGATCTATAATTTCTAAAATGAGCATATATTCCTTTTATAATCAGAAAAATACTTTGAAAAATCCATCAATTGTCTCTTTCAATATTTTTCATCAAATATTAATATTTGCTAAAGTGAGTGGATACTATAAAGCCAGATTTCTGGTAGGTTCTATAGACAAAAAGATAAATGAGGCATGATCCTTCTTAAGAACTTTACTCCAACAGGTATAATCATGCTTAGCTTCTGCTTTAGGGACTTATCCTAAGACCACCTGATCAGGCCCTATCATCCACCCTACTCCACTGTCCTCCACCTCATACAGTGGCAGCAGGTCAGAATTGTTCCACAGCAGCTGTGGCATTAGATTCCACAGCTTTCAATTTTCTGTAATTCTGGAACAGATTGGAAATATTCGCCCTTAAATTTCAAAGAGGGTAAATAATGATTGGCAGTCAAAGGAAAACCAAGAAAGTATACTTCCTTACTATAGAGGCAGTGTATCACATATACCAAGTCAAAATGCACAAACAAGAACTGGCCTTGCTTTTTAAAACCTATCCACAATCAATGCAATTGCCCACTGAACAATACAAGGAGAAGAAAGATATTACCGTGGGTTTGGGTTTCTTTAGAATGTGTGAGATCTGTGGGAGGCCTCATTTCCTGTGCTGCTGCTTCTGGCTCTATCTCCGGCTGTGGCCTACTGCTTTCATCCTCCACTTTTTTCTTTTCATGCTCCTCCTTTTCTTTCTCTTCCTCCTCTTCCTCTTCCTCCTCTTCTTCTACTTCAGGCTCATCCTTCATTCTCAATAGAGTTGGAGGGAGTTCTGGACGCTTGGGGGGTAACTTCTATGAGGGAAACAACACCATGAACAAGTACTTCTATACCTAATGATAACACGAGAAAAAACTCTTCAAGCTTAAGCTAAATGTGTAGAATGTCTAGCCTCTCTAGGTTGATGCACCCCAGAAGTCTGCTGGAAGGACTTTCACGTGAAATTTTATTCATATTGGGACCCTAAACAAGTATGTTTATAGTTTCTAGGGTCGAAGACTATTAAATACAAAACACTTGAAAACAGCTTGTAGGGAACTAAAACGTTTATTACAGGTGAGTAGCAACTGCAGGTATTCCATCCTGTTATACCTTATGATATTAAAATATCTTAATTTATTACAAAATCTTCTAAGGAATAACTCAAATGCACATTCCTAAGAAATAAACAATTTGTACTGCTTTTTCATTTTAGACGTAACATATTTCAAGGAAACAAGGTAAGTCAATCAGTAAAACAGATCATGAAGAAAGAAATTTCTTGAAGAATAAGGCCAAATATTCAATCAAGGCCATTCAATAAAAGCACTTATTAGAAAAAGTTGGTCACAGTTATAGAATAGAGAGAAGGCACCAAAGTATATTTTGTTTATATCGTCTTTTTAAATATGATTTAGTGCAGTAATCCTCTAAGGAGGGCTTTTTAGTTAAAAGCCTCCATCATAGGTAAATCATGTACTCATTCAGAATAGAGCTGGGACTTCAGGCCTCTGCCACCAGAGGGAAGTTTACCCTAATTCAAGGTGTTTTGGGTTGAAATTGTGTCCCCTCCAAAATTTATGTTCGAAGTCCCAACTTACAGTAAATCAGAACATGACTGTATTTAGATATATGGTCTTTAAAGGTGATTAAGTTAAAATGACACTGTTAGAGGGGAGTCCTAATCCAACAATGCTGGTGTCCTTATAAAAGGAGAAAGACACCAGGATGCAAGTGCACAGAGAGACAACCATGTGAAGAGGCAGCAGGGCATGGCCACTTGCAAGCCACGGAGAGAGGCCTCAGAGGAAACCAACCCTGTTGGCATCTTGATCTTGGACTTCCAAACTCCACAACTGTGAGGAAATAAATTTCTGTTGCTTAAGCCATTTTGTTATGGCTGCTCTAGAAAACTAACACTCAAAGTTCAGCTCCTTAGCGTGATGAAAACCTTCTAACAGCTGAATCTATGAATAGGAATATACACAAAGCAAAAATATATGCCAGTGAGGTATTATAGGATAGTGGAAAGATCATAAAACTCAAGGGACAGAAGACCTGATCTGATTGCCAGCTTAGTTACATAATGCTAGTATGATCGGGTATTTAACCTCTCTGACTCTCTTTCCTCATCTGTAAGAGATACACATTCCTACGTGTCATAAGGTGTTAGAAGGATTAAATGAAGTAAGGAAAACAATATGGCAGAGACAGGTACACACACTATGTTTTTGTTTTTGTGTTTTAAGACAGAGACTTGCTCTGTTGCAGGGGCTAGAGTGCAGTGGC